TTGGAGCGGACAAGAAATTGGAAATGCACTCGATGTGTACAGTTTCAGTATCATTATGTATGAACTGTTCTTTGAGGAGAAACCATTCTTTTCCAATTCTCCTAAAATTCACAAATTTTCTCAATCACCACATCAAGATTCACTTGCATTATCCGTTCCAGTGATGGTGGTGAGGGGTGAACGTCCTAAAATTCCCTGGAATAACAATGAAGAATTGGAGGTGTGGTTGAGAGAGTTTATTGAACCATTTGAGAAGAAAAATTCTCTAGATCATGAAACTGTTTGTAACGTGTGTAGTGATTATGTGGAATTGATGAAGCAATGTTGGAATTCCATTCCAAGTAAGAGGCCTTCCTTCAGAGAAATAACACAGTATTTGGAAAAGATTTATTCAAAACTCAAATAAAATACTACCATTACACCAAAATAATAGTTCACGTAGAAACAGCTTTTGATGATGCTAAAGAAATAAGATAAACATCATGTTAAAATTCATTAAGGGAATATTTTCATAATGAATAAGATTCCCGTGTAGTCCAATGGCTAGGATACCTGGCTTTCACCCAGGAGGTCCGGGTTCAATTCCCGGCATGGGAGAATCATTTTAACTTTTCTTGAAATTGCATTCGACCCAACAGGACAACACAAAATCTCCAAAATTGGAAATTTCTTTCTCTTTTAAAATCGTAAACTAAAACTTTAATTGTCCGTAATATCATTCATTCAAAATATTCCTCAGTACTACTTTGAGTTTGGTTGCTTTCCCTTATTAGCTTCCTCTTGAGTTTGGTGTTCCTTCTTTTCAAGATATTCCAATAAAAGTCGTTGAGACTCTGATGGGAAAAAGGTAATCTTGGCAGCTTTCCAAATGATATTCGGTAAAATTGCAACTACAACTACTAGTATCGTAGTCAAGGTAGCTTGCACACTCACAAAAGTTTCATAATAAATGTATAAACTCTCAGGATCTCCCAATTCATCTGCAATTGGAGAATAACAAGCATTGAATGCAAAGTAAAATAAAAAACCAAGTGGCATTAAGATTAAAACTGGAACTGTCAATGTTTTAATCTCCAAAATGTATATCAAAGTGACCA